TAATTAACAGGATTACCTGACCAAATTTCTTCTGGAATTTTGAAATTAAGTGACGAGTGTGGAGAACGATTAACCAAGTAACAAGCAGTTGATACTGCTTCGGCCTAAAATTCACGTCGATGCCATAACCCAGCATTTGAGAGCATACAACGAGCTCTCTCAAGTAGAGTTCTGTTCATTCGTTCTGCAACACCATTCTGCTGGGGTGTTCTTGGAATGGTTTTATGTCTAACAATTCTATGATTTGCGCAGAACTCATTAAATTCACCGTCACAGAACTCCAATCCATTATCCGTTCTGAGCTTCTTGATTTTTCTCCCTGTTTAGGTTTCAACAAGAGTTTTCCACCTCTTAAAAGTGGGGAAAGTCTCATTTTTATACCTGAGAAAATAAACCCAAACTTTACAAGAAAAATCATCAATAATAGTCATCATATAACGGCGTTGTCCATAAGAGGGAACTTTACAAGGCCCCCACAGGTCAGAATGAATATAATCAAGAATACCCTTTGTACGGTGAGTTGCAGTAGAGAAACTTATTTTTTTCTGTTTCCCAAAGACACAATGTTCACAAAACTCCAACTTACCGATACCTTGGTTACCAAGAAGACCTTGCTTGCTCAAAAGATGCATGCCTTTTTCACTCATATGGCCCAGGCGCATGTGCCATAATTTGGTGACCTCATTATCAAGCATAGAAGAAGATATAGCTGTTGAACCTGTCACAACAGAACCTTGCAAGAAATATAAAGTACCAACTCGGTTACCTTTTAACAAAACAAGGGCACCTTTTGATACCTTTAGGACTCCACCTTCAGATGAATACTTGCACCCAAGAGATTCAAGGGTGTCAAGAGAGATAAGATTCCGCTTTAATTCAGGAATAAAGCGAACATTAGTCAGAGTCTTGACAACACCATTATGAGCCTTGATCTGAATAGTACCTATTCCTTCAACTTTGCATTGGGTATCATTAGCCATTAAGACAATACCACCATTAATTGGTTCAAAAGTGGTAAATTGGCAAAAAAAATTCGACAAATGCTACAGTAATTTACTGTAGCAACATTGAAAATTTTGAAAGTTACTGTAGCAATTCTGCCTATAAAAGGCAGCGAATGAACGAATGAAAACCACACCAAAATCGATCATTCACTGATCAGAAGAAGAAATTTGAGAATGTCATTTTGTAGCTCTTATTCCATTCTGAGGGAGTATTTATTGAGAGAAAAAATAGAGTGATTTATTACTCTTTGTCCTCATAATTTTAGAGGACTTTTTGTACTCTCCCTTTTACATAGTAGATTTATTTTGCTCGTCGTTATCCGTGGATTTTTTCTCCAATTTGGAGTTTTTTCCACGTTAAAATTTTGTCTCCATTATTCTCTTACTTATCTTTATTTCCAATTAAATTCGATCCAGTCTTCTGCATTGCGTTATACCCCAACAAATAACTTTACAGCCTTGTTCTTCTTGTAACAGCTTTAGGGAATGTACCTTATTTGACCGCATGACTTTAGCAACTTTCTTACTGCGTGTTGTGACAAGAATTTTGCTTCCTTGAGCCCCACATTTAAGAGGAGTTTGCAAAGCTTCCCACAGGACTTGATCTTCATTCCAAACGTCGTCCAAAACGAGAAGAAATTTCTTTTTTTCCAAATTTTTTTTCAATCTTCCATGAACCATTTCTAGGCTTCCACTGTCATCTCTTTTTCCAGTTATTGTCTCAAGAATTTCTTTTGATAGCTTAAAAACATCAAATTCATCTGAAACACTGACCCAAGCTTTGATGTCAAATTTAGCCTCCTCCATCCTTGAGTCATTGTATACATGTTGGGCAAGTGTAGTCTTACCCAACCCGCCCATACCCACTATAGAAATTATTGATAGCTGATTATTATTCTCGGTCAGCCAATTGATGATCAGATCTTTGTCATGATCTCTATCATATATAACACTTTCAGCCACCAAAGATGTTGATTGCAATTTTGGTAACACTTGTCTACCCAATTCAACATTAACACTAGAAGCATTTTTCAAACCCAGATCATCCTTTTGCTTTTGGAGATCATGCAGGTCTTCAAGGACTTGTTTCATCATTGATTCAATTTCCCTGTCAAAGGGACTAACAGGTGAAGGAGCAAGGAAATTCCATACCTTTCTAGGAAAGGACTGAGAATCAGCTTCCGGCTTGCAATTGGCGACTTGAATGTGTATTTCATCCAAGAGATCCTCTGCATTGAACACAGCATCAAGCCATGTTTTCACAGAAGGGTTATTGAACTGCTTTAGTTCTGCATCATCAACCACTGGACTGATGAACTGCAGCATGTTCTTCAACCTTTTGGGAAGCTTCTCATCAAGATTTCTTCCACGAAAGAACTCCAGTACTTCACGAGAAGCCAGCCTGTCAAATGCCACCTGAAGGAAAGAAGAAAGAAACGCTCCACCCAACAATTCTGCCGCCATGGTAGGAAAGAAGAAAGGATTGCAACTCTGAAGTGCAGCTTACGGCAATAATTCAGTGCAGAGTTATAACCGATGATATGAGTGATAGCCTAATAAGTTATATTCTTAATGATGCTTTTCCTTATGGCTAAACATTCATGGCCAGTCAACAAATAACTGTTGAGTCGTCCCCACGGCACAAACCTAAACAGTTGCATGTCACTTTTCTATTTTGTTAGTAGTCTGCTTCAATTTCATTTTATGCATATTTGCTTTACTGTTGAAAAGCACCACTTCAGTCATAAAATAAGAAAAGGAAAGGCCCGAATTGAAAAGCGTCCAACCCCTAATGCAATTTAAATGATATGCATAAAATGTCTTTGGGTTAATTCTAAAAGTTAGGAATAATATTATAAAGAGAAAGGGGTGCTGCATAGGTTGCTGCAACTCTTTTATTCCGGCGGCAATGTTAACAAATGTTGTGTCAACACGTCTACGTCTCCCTCTAGGCACACCTGCATACTGTAATCAACAATTCATGCTTATTATGGTGATTGTTAGGAGCCAGTCCCCAGCTCCTAGAAGCAGATCCTAAGCTTGAATAGAAGGTTCACCATAGACAATACACATTCTAGTTTTTAGTTGCATCTTCACCTTTAAAATGATAGTAAGTATTAAAGATTAAATAAGCATGACAAATATTGTAAGTATTATAAATTAAATAAATATGATAAAGAAAACTGATGAAATACCGAAGCAAATAATAATTTTTTACTAAACTTTCGTCTTAATCCTTGATATAATAAGCGTAAAGTATTTTAATTTTATTGAGATTTATAAGCTACTCTGATACCAAATTTATTATGACCATAAATTGGGTTATGCTCAGCGCATAGACTATTAACATATAAGACAATTAATCTCTTTAAATAAGTAATATGATAAATTTATCAAAAATTTTGGCAAAATTATAGCTTTATTTAATTATTATAACTTATCAAAATCAACAACTCAACTAAAATCAATCAAATTCTAAAATATTATAATATTTAAACTAAAACATCTATTACAAGACTAAACTAAAAATATCTAACTCCTTAATAATAGCTTAAGAAAGTTTAAAATACAACAAAAAAAAAAGTTTACTGGAACAATGTAGCCTACCAACATAATAATTACAATTATCTACTTATAAATAACGAAGACCTAATTAATTCGTTTTTCGAGATTATTCTAGAACTATAAAAAAAGTGCAAGTTTATAAATTTAAATACTAATAATATTTAACAAAAATTTAAAATTAATTTTAATATATAATAAAATCTTTAAATTTATACTAAAAGTTCTAAAATATACATTCTATAAAGAATGAACTTATTAAAAATTAATGTTATTATATATTTAAGTTGCGAGCATATTTTAGTAACTTAAATAGAATACTTTTTTACTAATAAGTAACACGTATTTTTCTTTAAAAGACTGTCACTAACTCTAAAATTTAGTCAAAATTATTCGTGTGAAAAAGAAAATTATAATAATTATTTATCTTTTTCTTCATTTATTTATCACTAAAAATAAATGAAGAAAAAGAAAAGAAACATAACAGCACTGTGGTGTAGAAATAGTATAGGTTGGGTTAAAAAAAAATGGTCCGGTAATTTGTTATTTGTTTAAATGAAAAGGGAGTTTCACATTTCCTTTTGAAATACTGTGAATATGATTACAGCTGAATTATTTTTGTCAATATTAGAAATGATTTCACGCTCTCTTGTTTTCATGTCACCATAGGCTGTGACTCGAGTATGCTTCTGAGAATGAATGGCAGGTGGAATCAAATCCAGTTTAATCTGCCTCACTTCACCATTAGAGCACATGCTATTATCTTTGGAATACATAACTATCTTGATTTATATATGATATACCTTTTCTTTAGTGATTTGTCAATTTCTATAAAATATTATAAAAAAAAACTTTTATATAAGAGAAAAAAAAAGACTTATTATCTTTGGCGTATGAAATTATACTGTTGCACAAAACTTTAAACATCTATAGTAGATTCTCAACTTTTCTATGGTAATATAAGTAAGTTAGAATATTTATTCAAAATCTCGTAAATCGATCATTATGATGCATCCTCCCAATTAGATCTTTTACTAAATCTATCACGCACCATGTTCTTTGGCCAATTTCTGCACCAAAACTTTGTTTTATGATCATGCTAAGCAAAAGAAAACATGAAAGTCCAATAATTTAAAGTTGGCCATCAATTTGTTTAGAAAAGTGAGAAAAGAACATGTACCCAACAAATGTATGCAACATGTTTGCTTAGAATTCAACTTCAACAGTAGATATTGATAATAGAAATTCTTGTACGTAAAACAGAACATATAAAATATGATGTGTGAAGAAGGTGGCTGAGCCATCCTCCTTTAAACAAGGTTGTATTTAAAAAGTTACAAAGACATTGTGGAGAAGTGGTACCTGATTAAAAGGTTGACATATGAGAATTGGGGCTTGTGGAATTTTCAACTTGTCGTTCATCTTTAGTTCATCCTAAATCAGTAAGTCTTTTATGTGAGCAATCTTTCCCCAGTCTTCTCCATTTGGTTGCTGACAACGTTGTATGAGCATTGGACAGTTGCCTCGAAGTTGGAAGGTTGAAATGGATTGGGGCAGACCCTCCTCTGGTAAGCATTGGAGGCTGGGACAGTCATCAAGAATCAATGACTCGAGAGAGGAGAGGTGGCAGAGACCCTTATAGTTCAGTTTTTTAAGATTTGGACAATCACGTATTGCTAGAGAAGTAACAGAGAGTGGCAGCAACCCTTCATCAGGAAAAGACTCCACATCCACTTCTCCAATAGACAATTCCAGAGAGGTGTTGTTGGCTTCCAAAGCCCCTCTTAGTGAAGCCACAACTTTCGGGCAATTCCCGAGCCTTAGATATTGGAGACTTGATGGCAAACCTCCATCACAGAACGACTCCACTTGTGGACAATTGTATATCATTAGGCGAGCAAGAGATGGAAGGAGGGTGTTCATCCGTTCAGGCAATGATTTTAATTGAGGGCACTCACTAATATTCAGAATCTGTAGATGATTGTCAGCGTGCTCCTGCGTAATCATTTGTAGATTATGCAACTCGAGACTAAGATAATAGAGTTTTGGGAAGAGATCAAGCGGAAAGGTCGTTAGAGAGTCACAGCTACGCCCGATTGACAAATGTACAAGGGAATTGTGGCAATGGTGAGTGGGAAAATTCACATTCGGGCAATCATAAAGGACCAAATATTCAAGAGAGGCATCAGATATGGTGGGTCCAATCCTTTCAAGCAGCGATCCTTGCATGAAGATGAAGCTTCCATAGATGGTGAGTTTTTTCAAAGTAGATGGGTTATAATCCATTTGCATCTTTCCACTACTAAATACCATTAATTCTTCAATGACTGGAGCCCGTGGAAGAGTAGCCACAAGCTGTACGCACACTCTAATATTTAGCTTCATCAAACAAGGAAGTTGCTCTGGCAACTGCTCCTTCAGCTTAGGACATCTCTCTATGGAAAGCTCTCGAAGACGTGGAAAAGCACCCGTCACAGTTTTACATTCCCATTTCTCCAGTTTCCTCATATCTTCAAGGACTAAGATTTCCAAGACAGGCAACTGTCCAAGCGAAGGCAACAAAGCACAGTTTTTACAGTTGCTCAACTTTAATGACACCATATTCCACAACGAGTTATCTCCAAACCAGCTTGGGAATTTTGTTCCGCCATAGTTCCTGATTGATAGCTCTCTCAAGTATTTGGAAGGTTGTAGCTCCTCCAGTACATCATTTTCTTTCTCTGAAACATTATCATTCTCACTCCATTTTAACTCCAGCCTCACAAGGTGAGTTTTACTCTTAAAATTTGCTTTTGATACACCCGAGGGATTCACAATATTCTGCATCCCCGAAATGATCAAGTCTTCACGCAGATTGAGTTTTTCTAGGTCCTGGATATTGAAATTGCTGCCCTTGTCCACACAAAAAGAACTCATCAATACTTGAAGATTCTCTAATTCCCCCAAATGCATTGGCATCTTTCTCAACTTAGTTTTTCTTAAATCGAGGTGACGCAATTTAGTGAGTTTATGCAAATTCAAGGGCAGCTCTTCCAATGATTCACAAGAATGCAGCTTCAGTATTTGTAAGTTATAGAGCGAACAAGTTGAATCAGGAAGCTTTGTTATTTTGGTATGAGAAAGGTCTAGAGAACGAAGATGTTTAAGATTGCATAAAGATTCAGGCACCTCTGTAAGACTCCATTCTTGAGAAAAAGATAAGACACGTAGGAACCTGAACTTTGAGAACAAATCATCTATCGACATCGTACATTCCCAGAAAAAAACATAATTTGCATTTTGTAAAGGTAGAAATGTACGTAACCTAGGTTCATGCAAACCCTTAAACCCGTGAAAATGTTCAATGCCGTAACTTTCAAATGAGAAATGACGTGTCTTTTCAGATATAGTTGGTGCTTCTTTCACTTCTAATCGGATACAAGAATCCCCGCTAACATAATTTGCCAGGTCATTGAGAAGGTCGTGCATGACATAACTCGTTCTTGTATTGGACCTACTTCTTTGAGTTTGTTGAAAAAAGGACCTTGATAACAGATCATCAAAGTACTGTGCGCCAACTTCTTCCATACTCTTACTCTGTTGGGGGTATTGGAGAAAGTTTTCAGCCATCCATAACAGAATAAGATCCTCCTTGTCAAACTCGTAATCTTTTGGGAACAAAGCACAAAAAGCAAAGCATCTCTTGAGAGCAGAGGGAAGGTGGTGATAGCTCAACAACAAAGCGGGGATAATATTGTTATGTTCTTCTGGTAAGCTCCATATCTCGCTTGTCAGTACACTTCCCCATTCCGAAACCGACGATTTTGTGTGTAAGAGACTTCCAATTGTTTTCAAGGCTAGAGGCAGTCCTTTGCATTTTTCTACCAACTTCATACCTATCTCCTTAAACTCCGGATCCAATTGAGAATTTTCATCAATGAATGCATGTCTAGCAAGCACTTTCCAGCAATGATCTTCTTGTAGTTGCTTCAGGTGATGTACTTCATTTGACTGCATGGCTAAAGCAACTTTCTCACTGCGTGTCGTCACAAGAATTTTGCTTTCTTTTGCCCCATAATTAAGAGGAGTTTGCAAAGCTTCCCACAGGTCTCGTTTTTCGTTCCAAACGTCATCCAAAATGACAAGAAATCTCTTCCCTTCCAAATTTTCTTTCAGTCTTCCATGAACCACTTCTAGGTCTCCACTGTCATCTTTGGACTTTGTGATTGCCTCAAGAATTGCTTTAGATAACTTAAAAACATCAAATTCATCTGAAACACAGACCCAAGCTTTGATATCAAATTTAGCCTCATCCACCTTTGAGTCATTGTATACATGTTGGGCAAGCATGGTCTTACCCATCCCTCCCATACCCACAACAGAAAGTATTGAGAGATGGTTAACACTCCCACTGTCAGATATCATCCAATTAAGGATAATTTCTTTGTCATAATCTCTACCATAAATAACACTTCCACCCACCAAAGATGTTGAAGCCAATTTTTTTGACCCTTTACTACCTGATCCAACACCAGAATCTCTAGCCTCTTTCAAACCTAGATCATCCTTTTGGTTTGCAAGATACTCTAGTTTTTCAAGGATTTGTTTCATCCTGGATTCAATTTCCCTATCGAATGAACTGACGGAATAAGCCTTGAAACATGTCCATACCTTGCAAGTACAGGTTTGAGATTGAGATTCAGAATCAGCTTCCAATTCACATTTGAAGACTTCATAGTCTATTTCATCCAAGAGATCCTCTGCATCAAGCACAGCTTCATTGACAGCAACAAGCCATGCTTTCACAGCAACTTTGGCAGCATCTCTCACTTCAGTGACCTGCTTTTGTTCTGCATCATCAGCCAGAGCATTGATGCACACCAGCTTGAGCTTCAACCTGTTCAGCAGTTCCTCATCAAGTTTTCTTCTTCCAAAGTACTCCAAAACTTGACCAGAAGTCAGCTTGTCAACTGCTGCCTGAATGAAAGCAGAAAGAAGAGCACCGCCAATCAATTCCAATGCCATGCTATTATATGATAAGGGAGTGATTGAATCGGAAAAAAGAAAGGATTGAAAATCTGAAGTGCAGAGTTAAAACTGATCATATGAGTAATATTCTAATAAGATATTTTCTTAATGCTTTTCCTTATGGCTGGTAATGCTAAACATCTGTTCCAAGTCCTTCATTGCCAGTCAACCAATAACTGTTGAGTCTTCCCCACAACACAAACCTTTACAGTTCTATCCCACCAATGAATGTGTTTGTCACGTACGTCTTTACTTTATTAGGAGTATGCTTCAATTTCATTGTATGCATGATTTTGCTTTACAGCATTCAATCAGTCTGTTAATCTGTTGACTCAGCAGAGTTAGCAGTAAATGAGTAATAAGAATTTTCTGAATTGCTTTACATTGACAACACACAAACCTTTACAGCTGTATTTCACCACGAATGAGTGGCTAAAATTGTGCAAGGGATATTTTTCAAAACGTTTTAAAAGAGGCTTTTGTGTGTCAATTTTATTAACATCCTTGATTTACTATAATGAAATATTTATGCAAAGGTTTTTTAGAATGTTGAATCAGTTTACAAGTTTAATCCAGTTTACAGTTTTGATCTGATCTAAGTTTACACCGTTACGATTGCCTGATGCAATTAAATTCTCCGTATATTAAAACTTGGAGAGTTTATGCATCATTTTAAATTATTATAAAAAGCACTCTGTAATAGCAACTTTAATCTACTTGTTTAGTATATCATATTTAAGCTGGCTCTTATAATACGACAGCTAAACAATGCATTTAGAGAAGTGATTTTGATGGTTTTCAGGATGTGGATTTTTTTGTAACAACGCATGATTTTACCGTTATTTGTCTTGTAATTTTAGTCTCCCTAATTTAATGTTTAAGCATTTTTGGTCTTTTTATTTTGTTTTTTTCTTAATTTTAATTCTCAATTTTTAAAATAGAACAAACGTGATTCACATTAAATTTCCTCTTTAATCTCTAACAAAAAAATTGCTGACGTAGCTAATTAGAAAATGGCATGACTAATGGATTAATGGGTGTCTTACATGCAGATTAAATTTGAAATTTCCATAGAATCAAAAGAGGAAGAAGAAAAAAAAGACCTTGATGTGTGAGCTTGAGCCAATATATTCTATAATTGCTCTTTCTTACTTCAGTGTTTTCATTGCTCACGCCCTCCCTTTAAATTAAAATTTTTAGTCTTATATACAAAAGTCTCAATTCAACCCCCGATATGCTAATTTTCAAGTTATAATATAATCAGATCAATTGCATAAATGAAATAACTTTAGGAAAGTTTCAAGGATTATTAGAATAAATTTCAAAGAAACTTTTTCTCAAATATAATTAAATAAATAAAATTAATAGTTATGAAAGTAAGTAAAAAAATTATAATGATCATCCACTTCATAAAACAATTATGAAGGCTTACTAGATAACTCAAATAATTTTAAAGATTTTAAGGTTTTTAAAAGCTTTACTAATCATAAGAAACAATTTATTTAAGCTATTGAAACCTTTTGTAATTTATATTTTATTAATATTATTTTTTAATTCAATCTTGATCATATTTTGAAATTTTATCTTAAAAATTATTTTTCAAAAACTGTAAAATTTTCTCTCTAACTACTTTTTTTATATTTTTTGAATTTTTTCAATAAATTTGATTAAAATTATTTATTTAATTTATTAAATAAAAAATATTTTTCTAATGTATAATTGTTTAGCATTTATGAAATATTTTGACAGATTAAAAAAATGTCATTTTATCTTCAAGATATGCAAACTATACATAACACTTTCAGTTTGACAACTTTAAAAAAAAAATGATAACTTGTTACATCATTTATTTTTTCATTAGCCTTCTATTTATTTTTTATATTTATTTACAATTTTCAACCTTTAAATTTTACTTTCTTGTTTTTTATTTAGTTTTTCAAATTTTTCTAAACAATTAGCAATCATAGGTACATTAATTTAAAAGAATAAAATTCTAATTTTAATGTACATATATTAATCTTCAATCAAAAAAATAATAATATATTTAACATAACAACTATTAAATATTATTATCTTTTATTTATTTATAAATTATGGAATGAATCAGAGATGGTGGAGTAGAATGAACAAAAGAATCTGTTGACCAAATTTCAAACCTTTGTTATTTAATTTCTAACAATTTTTCTCCTTTTAGTCAAAATTCTGCTACTTGAACAGCTATTTATCTGTATTGTTTGATTACTGTTTTGAAAATAGTTTTTTAAAAATAAATTTTAATATAAATTTATGCTAAAATTTATTTTTAAAAATAAAAAAATATTTTTAAAATAGTAGTCAAACATGCCCTAACTATTCTGTCACTTCTCCACCCTACAACATCTAAGTAACATCTTCATCTTCTTTCTTTACTTAATCAACCTGAGATCCTTTGCTTGACTTCTTGAATTTTGGGGGTAAGGGTGCAAAGTTTATCGAAGATTTCACTAAATCACACGTAATGACACTTCCAAGAGAGACTAAGTTTGTAGTCGCATAAGATGGTTTGGTAGAGGAGTTTGAGGTGTTGAAGGTCGTGAAAGGATGTCGGATGCAATTTTCTTCTAAGATTATTATTCAAAAAATTATTAAACCTATCAAAATCTTAATTTAATTATTATCCATAACAAGAATTAAAGAAATTTATATGTTGGTAAATTTTCAGTGAATTTTGAAGTTTGTATTACTTTTTTCCTCTCTTTTTCTTCTCTTTGATGTTTTTTATGGTTGAAAATAAAAATAAAAATTATACTTGCATTTGTTTATTTTAGTTTTTACTTCTTAATTCTTATTATGTCCAACTAGTTGGTTTTTTAAAGGGAGAAAAAAAGATTTTAAACATTAAGTAAAATTTTATTAACTTTACTCTAGATTAATAACTATCATATTAAATCATCATATCATCTTTTATTAGGATTAGCTTATAAGTTACATGATCACTATAATATTTAATTAAATAAATTAAATAATCTAATCATCTCTTACTTAACTCATGTAATAACTTAAAGATCAAATAATAAATGATAATATGTATTATATAATTAAATTATCAAGTCATCATTTTCAATTAAATTTGAAAGGATCAAATAACGACATTAATAAATTATTTAATAACATGATTTCATCTGTATATCATATAATCAATTAAACTTCATAATATTAACCAAAACATATTATTATCTTTAACTTTAATGTCTTTTAAATACACAACATATTATTACACTAAAATAATAGATGTAAATGATATAATATGGATAACAAGTAGAAAACAAACAAAAAAATCATAAATGTCACAACAATACTAGCAAAATAATAATAATATATATATGACTCATTTAACTAATATGACCCAAAAAATTGATAATTTTTTTGTTAATGGATCCTTTATTATAAAATTAATACTAATATGCTCAAAGACACTTTATTTTTCTACACTTTTTCTCTGACTAATGAGTACTTTAACTTCACGTATTTTACACCTTTTGAGTATTTGTCATTTGTTAAAGAAAAAAATAACTACAAATTATCATAATAAATTCTTAATAGTATATCTATACTATCAATAATATCAAGTCTTTAGATAAAGTTTTGTAGTCATAATGCATGAATAGTAAGGTCAAAGCATGCTACAAATTTAGCCTTCATAAAAAATAGGCTCTTTCCACTCTTCCATAAAATTACTCCTCCAACCAATGAACAAATATAGCCAAAAGTAGATTCCTTAAGTCTACACTCTAATAACGATTCAATTTGTGTAGCGAATCACTTCAAGTAATTTGATCTTATATATGTAACTTTGTAAGAACTTTCTTTATAGCATTCAAGTGATTTTACGTTACTACCGGCTTAATATTCATGAGAGAATTTTAAAAAATTTCAATTATATTTAACTTGCTGTAATTCTTATTCATATTTTTCACTTTATCTTTCTGATTTATTTAGAATACACTGCAACAAAATGTGAAATATATTCCTTAAAGTAATATTAAACTTATGACGCGACAAAGTACGACTCAGGGATAGTATAGAAAACCTTATGAATCAAAATTAAAAGTGTTAACTTGCCCAGTAACATTTTTCAACTACTTTATCCAACAAAACCAATCCACTACCAGTAATCTGAACAGGAACACTTGCCACTGCTGAAATGGTGAAACCGGTATGCATCCCTTAATATGATTTTCCTGCCAATAATTTGACTAACCAGCTTGAAAACAGAGTGACAATCACCACACACACGGAGATTCTTAAAAATTCTAAGAGGTGAGCCTTCTGGACTATTGATCAACCCAAATGCAAGAGCAATTCTCTCACTATGGTTCCAAAGATTATGCTCCTTTTGTTCTTCATCTGTATCTTGCAATGAATAGCTTGTGTCAGGCACATAGCCTGCCTCTCTAATCATCTTCTTGAGCTCTTCTAACTTTGCATAGATTTGTGATTTTTGTGGATGATAATGGTCTCCCATTCCAAAAGTTGTAACCTTGTTTTTCAACTTGATCCAACTACAGGCAGGTTTCTTCTTTATATTGTGTGATTCCATTTGCTTTCTCACATTCTCTACATCTCCCCACCTTCTGGTAGATGCACAGACATTTGAATAAAGAACATAAGCCGAATCATCAGATGAGTCAAGCTCAAAAAGACGGTCAGCGGCCTTCCTCCCAAGCTCCAAATTGCCATGTATTTTACAAGCCGCCAACAAGCTACGCCACACAAGGTCATTTGGTGGAATTGGCATCTTATTAATAAAAGCTTCAGCCTCAGCAAGCCTTCCTGCTCGGCCAAGAAGATCAATTATGCATACACAATGCTCTATTCCTGTGGGAACACCAAATTCAGTAGACATTGAAGAGAAGTATGCAAGGCCCTCGTCCACCAAACCCCCATGGCTGCATGCAGACAGAAGTGAAACAAAAGTGACATGGTCAGGTCTCAGTCCCAGATCAAGCATCTTATGAAACACTTCCCTAGCCTGTTGGAAAAACCCATGTCTGGCTAATGCTGATATTAAAATGTTCCAAGACCTCTGTGACCTGCGTCTTGGTCGGGGAAGGATTTTAAACACATCATCAATTTCCCCACATTTTCCATACATGTCCATTGTAGCATTTAGAACATAATCATTTGACTCGAGCCCAAGTTTAATAATCAAGCTATGAAGCTGCTGACCTTCATCCAATAAAGTTAAGTTACCGATTATGGAAAGAGCTACAGAGAAGCTAAACTGATCTAAATGTACCCCCTCATTCCTCATCTTTAGTATAAGTTTTACTGCCTCCTCACCTGGCCCACAATGAGCATTTGCTGAAAGAATGGCATTCCAAGTACTGGAATTCTTATTAGCTAGTACATAAAAAATATAGTTACTTGAATTAAGATCACCACACTGCGCATACATTGTAATTAAGGAGCTTTGGACAAATGTATCTAATTCGAAGCCTGCTACAACTATGTGAGCATGGATGGGCATTCCGCGTTCCGGAAGGTCATCGGGAGACAAACAAGCACTGAGAAGATTAACAATAGTAATGTAGTTTACAGGCAAACCCTCTTCTCTCAATAAATTAAAGGCTTCAATTGCTGCATTAGGCTCTCTGTTATCAGCATGTCCGCCTATTAGTGCATTCCAAGTTACTTCATCTCTCTTAGGCATACTTCTGCACACACGTTGCGCTGTACCCATCAAACCAAATTTTCCATACATGGTAACCAATGTATTACCTATGATCGAATTGTGATGGAGACCAAAAAGATTCACAAAGGCATGAACAATCTTTAGTTTTTCTAAATTATAACAGGCAGATAATGCAGTTGTGAAAGTAACATAGTTCATCGTCCTTCTTGTTTGGAGCATCTCAATCAAAAGTCGTACGGCGCGTGGATACCTTCCATTCTCAACATGGCTTGCCATCATGGAATTCCATGAAATTAAATCTCTCTCTGGCATTGTATGAAACACAAACTCTGCATCCTTAGATTTTCCAGCCTGAGAATACATACTTAGAAGACTATTGCACACACAAACATTTGATTCCAGTCCAGATTTTACTACTAGACCGTGAAGTCCTCTTCCCCACCTCAAATTTTGAGCCGAACCACATACTGGTAACAAGGTTGAAATAGTAATATAATCTGTCTCTTTGTGAGTATGACGCATCTGATAAAAGTATTCTAGAGATTCTTCACAATGACCATTATGTACACTTGCAGTAATGATCGAATTCCATGAAATAGTGTCACGTTCCTTCATGTTATCGAACACAAAAGATGCCTCCTCTACGCTATCACAATTACCGAACATGGAAACAAGGGAATTCGCCACAGAGACACTAGTGTCCAATCCAGATTTGATCACATAACCAAGCACCTGATAACCCAAAGTTTTATCTCCAATCACTCCACAAGATCTAATAACTGTAGCCATTGCATTTTGATTACAGCACACCCCCTCGCGTCTCAAATGCTGATAAACATTCAGAACCTCCTTTATACACCCATTATATGCATAGCAAACCATCAAAGAAGTCCAAGACACAATATTCGGTTCATCAATCTCCTCAAACAGTTTGTTAGCCTCAGAAACCTCACCATGCGTACCATAAAAGTGCAACATACACGTGCCAACAAACACATCACACATCAAACCGCATTTAACAACATAACCATGAATCTGAAGCACCCCTTCAGTCACACACCCTGACCTGTCACAGGCAGTCACCAAACTCGCAACCGCATAACTGCTCGGCCTAACACCACTTTCAATCATGTGGCAGAAGAATTCCATTGCTTCATGGTACCAACCGGCTTTAACAAACCCCGACATAATGTTATTCCAAGAAGCTTCGTTCCTGTGAGACAATTTATCAAAAACATATCGTGCACAATTAATCTCACCAAACTTAGAGTACATGTTAATCAAGGTGTTAGCATGGAATGTGCCAAGTGGAACAACACCCTTCACGCAAAACGCGTGCAAGGCTTTCCCAACATTTGCTTCAGTGATTCCTGAGAAGCCATTTCGAGGAAAACATGAAACTTGTGGGTTAGGATGGTTTGTGAAGGGAACACCAAAGCTAAAAGATAGTCTTTCGTTTATGCATGTTTGGAAGTTAACAAGGGACAAGTGTGTAGTGGATGAAACATGCTCAAGGCTAAAAGTACATAGCTTTCTACAATGCCTAGCCAGCTTTGATGATTGAATCAAATAGTCAATACTTGTGAAGAATTAATGCAAAGCCAACACTTTTTAAGTCATCCCAGAATCCCCCAATAGTACCAGAAAATCTACACAATGGAGGAGAAAAAAGTTTGAAGAACGGCCTTGAAATTTAAGATTTAAGATTTAAGAAAATCTTTGGTAAATTCCATCGTAATTTGTATTCAGAGAAAAATGATAAATATCATGACTAATGAGAGATGTAATGTAATAAAAATAAATTAAAAAGAGGTAGCTCTAAGATCTAACTTAACGCAATCGGTATATTAATAGTGAACATTGTTTCAAAACATAATAATAATGGTGAAGGTCGTTGAAAATTGAATGCAAGTTAAAGTTGAAATATCCTAACCTAGGTTTAAAAAATGCATATAAATTTTTTTGTGTATTATGATATTCTAAAATTTTTTTATTTTATTTTATTATTATTTTTTATAAATTTTTAGTTTTGAATAAAATATAATTTATATTTAAATAATTTATATTTATTATAAATAAAAATAATTATTATATAATATTTTAATATAATATTATTATTTTATTTTTAAATGTTACTTTGTTTAGTTTTAATCTTTAGCTTGTTTAAAATTTAAATGTAGTAAATATAATAATTTATTATTTAAATAAATATATAAATATTTTAAATTTCAAATAGAATATAATTTTTATTTATTATAAATAAAAATAATCATAATATAATATATTGATATAATAATTAAATATTAATAATAATAATAAAATTAAGAATATAAAAAATATATTAATATAATATTATTATTTTATTTTAAATTTTAGTTTATTTAATTTTAATTATATTTTATTCTTGTTCTTAATTGTTTTTCAGTTTATTTAGATGTAATAAATATAATAATTTATTATTTAAACACGTATTTAAATATTATTAATTATAATTTTTCATATTCGGTACTTGAAAATTTTTAAAAATACTTAGAATTTACCTAAAATTGTATTAAAAAAATGGCATGCCTTTGAATAAGTATATGAATGGAAGAAACCAAAGGTTATAACTTTTTTGAAAATCATGAAAAAAGGGTTAATATATCACGGGAGAAAGAAATTAAACGAACGAAGAAACACTTGAAGTCCAAAAGTTATTGACAACAAAACAGCATAAAAGTTAAAATTTTTCCTAATAATATTTTTTTATTAATTTATAAAATCAAGATTTTAAAATTTTTAACAATAGATAAATTAAAAAATTATTAAAAATGTGTTATTAATATTTTAAAAATAAAAATCAGAACTGTTTATTTTTCTCCCGTTCAACATTTTTTTTCACAGTTTCCAAGTTACCAGAAAATAATATTTCTATCATTTTGTTTGAATTTAGTTTTTTATGTGAAAAAATTAGAAAATAATTTCTACTCGTTTCTAAGGATGACAAAATTCTCCGCCTCCGCTGACAAGAATTTGTCACATAAAAATATTTGTATTCATGTATACATATGACTTTAATTAAATAAAAAAATTCTACTTTGCATATAGAATATATATATATAAATTCAAGCAAACATATTTTTATTTAGTAATTGTTATTTTATGATAATTTTTATATGTATTTAACTTGATATTGTATTTTTATTATTATAACAAAATTTTGTATTATTTTTTAATTCAAATGTTATTTTAGTTATAAATTTATATATAATTTATTTTAAATTAAATTATTTTTAATATATTTATAATTTTTTAATAAATATTCATAAATATTGATAGATATATAAATAATAATAAAAATGTTAACTTCGACTCTTAAAATTAAAAATAAACAGATGATAATAATAAAATTTTATTAAAAAAAGTATTTATTATATTTTTATAATTTTAATATAATAAATATATTTTTTTATAAAATTTTTTATTATAAATACTTAAATTAACAAAATTCATAATAATATTATAAAATCTTCCTGCACAGATATGAGGTGAGTACAAGACGAATCTTTGCCTCCACATGTGCTTGTTATTGGTATTAAGTTAATCCTAAAAATTAATTAAAGATAAATTAACATTTTACATAGGAATGATAAGTAAAATTCTGTAAAATTTACCCACAATGAGTAGGATATTTACCCGTTATATGGGTATAAGTAAACACCCGCAAATGAGAATGAGTGCGGGTATAAGTATTCAAGTATTTACCTGCCTCATACTCGTATATATATGCTTGAATTTTATTCTACAACTATGTATTAAATTTTTGTATTATACTATTTATGTGAAGTTATATAATATCAATATAAAAATATATTTAATAATTAAGTAAACCAAAAAATTTATTTTAGTTTATATTTTTAATAAAAAAAATTATTTACTATTTTATATTATTTAATTAGACTAATATAATTTAATTATTATATAGTTGATATGAAATTGACTTTTTTTAAAAATATTATTTATATATGACACATATAAAATATTTTTCACACAAATATTTTTGTTAATAAAATATATTGATATTTAAAACTAAATATATTGTAAATATTTTATAAATTTTACAATCACCTACTATTACTATAAGCTTATTATTTATTGATAATATTTTTTTATATTTTTATTTAAAATAATATTTTTCTATGCAACATGTGCATTACAAACACGATTATAATCTGTTAAATTTAAAAAATATTATTCTTACTATTTATTTACATTCAAAGAAGTTTTTGAAAAGATATAAAATATAAAAAAATATTGTTAATTCTTATTTGTTAAATTTTTTTTAAATAAAAAAGTATAATTTTTTACATACACATATATTTCTTGATTATAAAATTTTATTGAGACTATTTATTTTTTATTCAAATTCTTTCTTTTAAAATTTATATACATTATAAATATTTAATTCATTAAAAATAATTTTTAAAAATTTGTATTTTTGACAAAACACTTTCGTATAGCAAGTGAATTAAAAATAATAGTATTAATATATATATATATATATATTATTTTAATTAAATCTATTATTTTTCTTATAATTTCAAATTTAAAAGTTAAAAAAATATATTTTATATATCCATTTGTTAGTACTCGAAATTTTTTTGTCATAATTCTACTCTCATTATCAATATCTATCTCATTAAAATCTAACAATTATGAAACATTATTTATTAGAGTTAATTGTCAATGCTGTCACAAGAGGTCACTAAGTGATTCCCCCGAAGGACTAACCATTGTGCAGATCTATTTCGTTGTCGCTCTGATGTTGCTGATTGATAGAATCTCACACAAAGGGTCATCACAACAAATAACTTGTATGTTTAGTTATGCTTATTATTTCTAAAAATTTTAGTTTAGAAAATTATTGTATTAAAATATATTTAGCACTTGTGATTTTCGAATATTTATTTTTTATCTATATTTGTACCTTATTTAGCAACTACATAATAAATTTTTGTATTATTATGCCACTTATATGAAGTTATATAAACATATTTTTCTTTATAAATATTTTTTTCTCAATAAGCATGGGTAATGGGTACAAGATGGGTATGGCGGTACCTAGAAGGTACAGGTACAAGATGTTCATACCTATGTAAGTATGGAGTTGGCTACATGTATTTTTTTTAAAACATGGGTATTGGGATAAGTACTACCCTATCCATTGTCGTCCCTAATTTTACTTTGTACAATGACAATGGATAAAATAATTTTTGTCATTTTATTTTTATGTGAAAAATAAAAAATAATTTTTACTAAAATTTGAAAGAGAAAAGTGAATGTGAATGATTGGTAATAGAAAAAAGAAAAAAAAATAAAGATAAATGAGAAAATTTTTATAAACTTACGTTAGGAAAAAAAAACGGACATGGACGAAGAGGGAAAAAATAAGAAAAAAAAGAAAGAAAAAATAATTAAAAAATTAACTGAAATAAATATTCTATAATTTTGCTAAAATTTGTAGGGAGAAAATAAATAAAAATAAATTCTTTTAGCAGATTTAATATTTAAAAAAATTATTTTAAAAAAATAAATAAATAAATATTTTATAAATTAATAAATTGAAATGAGATAGAAAATAGTTAAATAAATAAAACAAAACAAAACTAAGATTGAAGATATCAATATTTTAATTTAGCCTAAATACTATACAAAGTTATGAAAATGGTTGAATGGTATGTTAGATTCAAAGATAATTTAATCCCTTCCCTCTGTACATGCATGTATGGATATTTATATATACACATATGTGTATATTTGCGTACAAATTTAATATAAAAAAGAAAGAAAATTATAGAAATCAAAATATACTTCAAACCATTTTAGAATCACTAGCTAGTTTGGATTTAGTGTTTAATATTCAATCATCAAATCAAATCTACAATGATTGGAATGCAAAATAAAAAAATAATTTCACAATAGAAAGAGAAAATGTGAGATTAACTTATAGTTATAGAGAAAATTACCAGAATTATACATGGAATATGTTGAGGAAATAACACTATCATCATATTCATGAAAAAATGAATACAAAATTATATAATACAAACTGAATCAAAGAATTTCGCTATCACTTTAAAAACAAACAAAAATTGGCAAACCTACCCTGTATTGATTAAAACTTCTTTGATTTATTTATATTGGTAGATTGAATCCGAACAATAGCGGTGACACTCTAAATGATAAGATGTTTTAAAAGTGTACAATTAATAAATAAATATTTAATGGCATATTTGAGGTTAATTGTTTTAAATATGCAGTTTGATAAAATAATATAAAAATATAAGATTTTAGAATTAGTTTTGCATATATAAAGTTTCAAAAATTATCATTAGTGACTTTTTAACTAGGTATAAAGATTTAAAGATAGAATGACTGAAAATAATAAAAAATCATAAAGTAAAAAAAAACTATAAAAATCTCCAACTTCAAAAAATTATAAAAAAATTTAAAGTACTTTTACAATTTTAGATACTTTCTTATATTCCGGTAATCTTTTTAAAAGTTTCATATTTTGGTATTTAGCAATTTTTTATATAAGAAAAAGGAGTCCATATTTTACTTATTAAGTATATGCTCCAGAAATAATTGAATTTGTGAAGGAAAATAAAAGATTTGATTGAAAATAGTAAAAAATTATTTAATGAAAAAAGCAAACTTTAAAGACTATGTTATATCAATTTATA